TTCTCGTGTTTCGTTTTTCGAACATTTGGCAGCCGCTGGCCTCTCTCCAATCGGCGAAGATCACCGTGTGGCGACCTGTCCACCTCGAGATCAGAATCTCCAAGTTTCACCACCGGGAAGATACACTGAACGATATAGAAACAACCGATTGTATTCTTACTTTGGGTCCTTATTTTCTTTACAGCATTGATAGAAACCAGCATTGATTAAGACTACCGCTTGGAGGTGGGTTTGGGTTTCAGTGCGATATGTTGGCAAACGCTTGCTGTGTGCGGTGCCGTGTGTTGTTTCAGTGTGCCGTTTGTATGTGAACCTGCGGATCATTGGGGTAGATTTGCAACCCTCGAATACGACCAGGACAACCCCCATCGCACTTTTTGGATGTAGAAATCTCCCGTTCTGACGGCTCTGGAGAGTGTCGATCGTCATTCAAGCACTGACCTTCATGAAGAGGAAGGTGTCACAATCGAGTCTGACCTGAAAGGACCTGAAAGGACCCCCAAAGCACATGCCGCCCTCAATTCACCACCTTCCGTGGTGGTGATCCATTCAGAACTTTCGTCACTGCAGAGGTACATTTAAACATGCCATGCGTTGAACAAAGGTGTTTGAACAAAGTACTACATGCACAGTTCCCTGAGTATTGAACTTGTTGCTTCACTGAGTCCGTCAACCATCTCTCGTGAACATATCCCTGAAGAAAAGCTTCAAATGAACCCATTTGTTGGATGAATTCCCCTAACTAAAGACATCGACAAGTGCTGCAGTGCGGAAGAGATATCTGTAGATTCAATAGATTTGGTGTCAGAAATAGAGCTTTCTTGTAACTAGAAGCTTCCTTTGGAATCGTTTCACTGGAAATCGTTTCACCTGTAGTAACAAGAAGTTTTTTAGGTTTTTGAAGCTTCTTAGTAACTAATTAGAAGCTTCTAGTAACAAGAGCATTTCTACTAGGAGCAAGAAGCTACTAGTAGCTAACTAGAAGCTACTAGGTGGAGGCCATCGCTAATAGAAAATCCGCTGCGGTTGTAGAAATCCACCCGCCACACCGCTCGCGATTCATCGTGCGCCAGGAGACGGCATGCCAGCGCCTACAATCGAGGCTCCGAGGCGGAGTCCAAGATCTCTGAAGGTTTTGGAGGCCAAAAAGCTATTAGATTTGGAGGCCTTTAGATTAGGTTAGGTGTTTCTGTCTTGTCCGGTTTTATCTAGCAAACTTTTCAAGCGGCCCCACATTCGTGGTGGATGCAAACGCTCAAAAGTGAGACCGGCCCCACATCAGCCCATTTTGCCTGAACACCTTCAGGTTTCTTGCAGTTGTACCCCGAAGTCACCCAAGACCACAGCTGAAGAATGGCTTTAAGTCGGAGCATTGCAATCCACGCTGCCAAAAACCGTGGTGGACCTCTTGCATGCTCCCTGGTGCATATGGAAAGAAAACATCGCAAAACACCAACCCCATCCCACTTTTTTGGGTGCTAGTAGGCTGGAGGATATTGTTTGTAGGTTGGAGGCCATCGCTAGTAGAAACAAAGGACGGTCTGGCATCTGGTCTTCACTCATTGAGATCTGAAGAAATTCCGCCACGGCGTGACAGCTGTGTCTCTTTCCATCCATGCTTACCTGAATTACCAAACGTACCTTGTTTTTTGAGACAAGGCAGTGAGCTTGCGTCCAAAACTGGAATTCGGATGAGAGATGCGAATTGGGCAACGCCAGCGACAGCGACATGAGCGCCCGGGCGAAGCCACCATTGCACAAAGCTGTTGGCTTTCTTTTTGCCTTGAAATTGCAGGTTGGTGCGGGTTTGCGCCGGGACTCTGTGGAACGGTTTGCTTCGGGGAATTCCTGGAGAGGATGATCGGTTGAAGGTGAATGGAATTCCGGGGGTTTCCCCAGCTCCTGTAGGTCGCTCTTAGGTTGGAGGCCATCACTATTAGAAACAAAGGAAAAAGAAAAGACCAGAAAGGCCTAATATAGTTACTAGTAGATTCTTGCTACTAACAGTGATGACCCTTGTTACTAAAGGCGCGAATAGTTTGTAGGTACGCGGCCGTTCAGCGCCGCTCCAAGGCCGGGACAAACAAAGTTGCTGCGAAGATCCTTGGCGATCGCCGTCATCTCCTGGTGAGGGAAGTCGGAAGCGTTCATCCCTTTTGGCAGGGCGATCTCACTTGAAGCCAGAAGGATCTGCAGGAACACTATCCAAACAAGAGTCAAAAGCAAACAGCTAGCAGCTAGTACTGTATCAACGTCCCCAAACAATGTGCTTCGAAACATTCACGCAACGAATAGGACACCAAGGAGCGGTAAAAAAAAGCGGTCGCCACACGTCGAAAGTGGCTGTGACGCCGCCTTTAGGATCTGACTTTGATCCGGTTTGTTGCAGCGCTCATAGCCTCGGGTGTTTCTCAGGCTCGTACGGTGTTGGGGGTCGATTCTTTTTAGACGGAGCCAACTTGCAAAGGAAGCTAATGGAAGCTACACCGCTACTTGCATTTGTTGGATTCCACACGAGACATGGTTAGGAACACATCGCTACTAGGAACAAAGGGCATCGCGGCATCGCTACTAGGAGCGTAAGGACGCTACGAACGTAGCTCCTGGCCTTACTAACAAGAAGCTTCCTTGGGTTGCTCGTTTCACCTGTAGTCAAGAGGACGCTACTAGGAACACCTGAGCTGTTCAGTCATATTGGGCCGTACGGCGACCGTATCGGGTCATCATCGGTCCACATCGGGTACCACAAGTCGACGGTCGAGAACCGACCAAAGCGGGGATGTGTCATAGTCCGATGTTGTCCATGGGATGTGTGTCATTGAAACAAGTGCCACGCTAGTAGTAACAAGTGCCTTACTAGTAGTAACAAAAAGCTATTAGAATTAAGATAAGAGTAAATTTAATTAATAGCTTTTTGTTACTAGTAAGGCACCTGTTACTACTAGCGTGGCACCTGTTACTACTACAGCAAAACTAACCCACAAAGCTCGAACAAACATCAAACAACCACAGAACGCTACTTCACCCAAGCAAAAAAACAATACGACCTCTCATGGTGGGCTGCCCGACACCAAGCGATACAAGGCCTTGACTCCTGGTGCCATGGGACGAGCCACGATCCCGCTCAGAACCCCAAGCGGAAGGGTGCAGAAAATCTGCAGTTTCTGGGTCAAACATGCTCAAACCCATAAGCTTCTTGTTCCTAATAGCTTCTTGCTACTAGTAGTAAGGCCAGGAGCTACTAGTAGCGTCCTTGCTCCTAGTAGCGATGCACTTTGTTGCTAGTAGCGTCCTTGCTCCTAGTAGCGATGCCAGGAGCCCCTAGGAGCTTCTTGTTACTCTCAACATCTGACTCAATGGAAACCGATGAAATCAAATTCCATGCGGCCATGCATGCGGTTGGTTTAGGATTCCACCTTGTCTGCTCCACCCAGGAAGATTCGATTCCACCGATACGCCGTGAAAACGCGTCGGGTCTCACGCGTCTCATCGCGTCCTCGACACGAGTGATGGGAGACATTGTCCTTGCCTCGCGGAGTCATGAGCAAACGTGGGAGGATCGAAAGGACTCTGAAGAAGGAGAAATGAAAGGCACATAAGTTATGTAACATAAGGCAAGAAAAGACAAGAAGACAATTCAACCCATGATTATAAAAAAAATGTTCTTTTCAATCCCAACGATTCCATGTTTTACTGCCGAATCGGATAGACATGCGTCTCAATCATCATCTTGATCCGTCGGTGACCCAAAAGGTTGCCCTTCAGCCTTCGAGCTAACGAACGCACTTTTGGAACTGAGAAATTCGCTCAACAATTTTGTTGCAGAATATTATTGTAGACTTTTCTTTAAGGCCGTGAGGTAGCTAAGTAGGTGTAGCTAGCAGTGAAGGAGACAAGCCACCTACTAGCTAGCAATAGGTAGCTACTAGGCTCCAAACGCAGGAAAGCGCTCGCACTGTTCATTTGGTTCTTGGATTTTTGGGGAAGCTTGCGTCAGAGAGTTCAATTGGGTCATCCCAAACCGGGTAAAACGGACTTCGTCTGAACAGGTCTTCCATCACCGGGTAACGCGTCACGTTTCGAGGTCTGGCGCCTCGAGTTCGGTGACCCGATAGAGATTCCCGAGCAAACACCGAACGTCGAGCCGTCTGAAAGGCAGCGAGGATCGAGGTCAAAAGGAACTGCTTGAACTGCCAGAAGCTCAGGGCATTTCTCCTAGTAGCTTCTTGCTCCTAGATGCTCCTAGTAGCGATGCCAGGAGCCCCTACTAGCTTCTTGTTACCATGAAAACGTGTAAAGGTCCGATAGCAATGTCCCACGTACAAAAGAACATGATAGTGATTTGTCAAAGGCTATGACGAAATGGGGCGGGCCAAAGACATCAGTCAAGACTGTTTTCACAATCTCCCGCATTGTGTTCAATGATGTTTTTGCGAGGTGAACTGAGGAACCAAAGACTGTGACGATGAAGTCCACAAGAGAGGGATTTGACGAGTTTGACATAGGACATCTCAAAACAACATCACTTGAAGCAAGTCCAAAATGGCTATGCTTGACGGAAGCCGGCATAAATGCAATATGAAGCAATGAGATTGGCCTTTCTTCCTCGAATGCATCTATTGCTGAACCAACTGGAGCTAGTTTGCTGGGTGCTTCAGGCACTCCACAACATGTAAAAGCGTAGTCCCAACGATGCTGAGAACCAGCAACCCTGAGGTCGAGCAAATTCAGAAGGCACATACCCTAGCTCAATTGGTAACCCATCCATCCAATTTTGAGGAAAAACTCCTGACCTTGTCTTTCCATGCGACCTGTCTTTCTCGTGCATCTCTTTTCTTCGACGACGGTTGGTTCAGCCATATCTCGCCAAAACTTCACCTGGCGTGGAGATCACGGAACCTCCGTTGTTCGACTGTACAGCTTTCCTCAAGGTATTCATGCGAAACTGTTGTGCTTTGGGAAGGTGCCAGCCATAAAATATTGGTTCTTGAACTATTATTGGAGTTTTTCATAAATCAGTTTTCAAGATGCACGAGGACTGGTCTTCAAGTTGCCCTTTTGGTGGCCGGAATCTGTGTCGCCTAAAATGAAGGATTTTGCAAACCTTCACCGGGCGTTTGCATCCTTGGTGGTGCTGGAGAGCAAAATGCAATCTGTTTGCTTGCTTGCCTCCTTTTAATCTTTCGATGGGGGGCTGGTGCAAATGATGCCCCAAACGGTCTCACAATCACGAGATGTTGGCTGAAACAGCGCATTGGCCGAGTGCCAAGTGCGCCTCAAATGGCCTCAGTACAAAATCTGCAAATATCGGTTGGTCTTCTCCACCTGCACCAGCTCCGCTCTCTCCAAGTGACCCATGGTGATTCCCTCGAAAGCACACCACTGCAGCACAGTGGTATTCTTCAAAGCATCGGCCAGCTCCAAAAGACCTCCCTCAGCAATGAGCGTGTGTTCCAGGCTAAAGCTCCTCGGCTGTGCACAGTTTCACTCCGCCTACCGATTATGACTACGACCTCCGCTAATTAAGCAATGCATTTTTTTCTGCACTTTTGGTCATGTCGTTGTGATTTTGCAGGCCTTTGCCAAGAAATCAAAAAGATTCTAGGAGCAAGGACGCTACTAGGGGCTCCTGGCCTTACTACTAGGAGCAAGAAGCTACTAGGGGCTCCTGGCATCGCTACTAGGAGCAAGGACGCTACTAGGAAAAAGTGCTCAACCCAAAGCGAAGTCTCTTCAGCACCGTGTTCGTTCGGAGGGCTTCTGCCAGTGCTCGGGCCCCATCCAGCCCCATCTCACTGTTCTTAATCACCAAGCGATCCAACGAACAATAGTACGGAAGGGCCGTGGCAAGCACCAAGAACTCACGAGGAGAAAGCTTCTCCAACACCAATTCGGAGGCCTCCATGGCCTTTTCCAAGAAGACATCTTTCTGAAGCCGCACGACTTCCTTCAGATCATCACGATGGGTGAACACCAACTCGTCCGCTTCTACCAGTTCTTGGAAAGTCTCTGGGGCCATTGGTGCTCGGCCGTCAAGTTCATTGCCCCTTGGTTGCGGAATCACCCAGGAAGCGGGCAAGCTACGCGTCTGAGACCATTGGGCTTCAGCTTGACACCAGCCTCGTTGGGCATAGAGTGCCCAGTTGGCACAAAGCTCTGCCACAGAGACTTCCCGCACGGTGGCCGTTGCATCATGGTAGATGGTCACTCTCCTCAAGTTGTTTTGTTCTCGCACGTGAGGTGGAGTGAGTTCTTCAATCCGAAGTGTTGCCGTGAAGTCATGAGCGTAGAGCACATGCATGTTGCTCATGGCAAGCTGAAAGCTCTCGGTCTGCTCAGGTGTGCGTCGGTACTGACACAACGACATGTAGTCGATGAAGTACCAGTCGGTCGCATTGACTTCTGAAGCTAGAATGCTGAGCTGATGCCCAAAGGGATCCTGAGATCAGCTGCCTATCCTCCCCAAAGGAGCACAAACATCTACCATGTTTTGCACCAAACGTCTACCAAAACCCGAAACACCCCCAAAAAAGATCGAACAAATTACTGGCAATGTGTTTGAGGTCGGGATGTTCTCTGGATTCCCAGCAATGTGAGACACTGAAAATCCGAGTGCGTTGGCATGGCCTGCGATGCTCTGGCGTTGCCTCGTCGTGCCAAAAGACCTCGCGACCCACACTCCAGTCATGTACTTCCTCATGGGTCACCAGTGCACTACGGCCAGACATGGTCATCATGTGTTCAGCTTCTTGACCTTGGATGAGACAGCTTAGGAGTCGTCACCCTCCACCAGACCGGCACCAATCATTGCATGTTCTGACGAAATCTCAAATGAAGAAGTAGGATGAAGTAGGCATAAAAGAAAGACATGACGAACAAAGCCAGCCCAACGATAATGAGAGCAAGGTGGAGACAATGTGCACATAGTCAGTTAAAGCTGCATTGCAATTTACCAGTTTGGCCTGGTAAGCAACGATACTAGAGCCATAACTTGTTCACAACCGTTTTCATCTTCCAATCTTGGAAATTGAACAACTCAAAAGTATTGAGCCAATCGGGTTCATGGTGTGTGTGTTTCTGTTACGGTTCATACTGCCAAGGATGGGCACTGTGGTCTGGGAGCTTATCTAAGAAAACAAAAGAAAAGAACACTTGTTACTAGTGGTAATGGCCTCCAACCTAGTAGGGAGGGGAGCCCTCATTTCCAATGTATTGCTATCATGCTGCACTCTCAAGCTGCGAAATGTTTCTGAGAAGCCGACGCCGTACAAAGTTCTGGCCGTCGGCATGCAGCTCCAAAAGAAACTCGCCTCGCACCAGCCGGATGTCTGCACACTTCAGCCTTCGGCAGCATGGTGCAAAAGGTCAAGAAACATGCCAAGACCCCCAAACAGCAAACCATTTACTTTTGGTCGTGGTGAACCCCTACACCTATGCCTAAATCATCCTAAATCAAGTTTCAGGGACCCAAATCGAATTACACGATGTCGATTCCAGGTCCCAGCCACAAGGCGGCCAAAGCTGCGGGCGACTGGAGGTCAAAATGTTCTCTCGGCGGCGTAGCGCAAATCATCCAACGCGGCAAGCTGAAGGCGCCGAAGAACGCACTGGGCCTCGGCTTGGACCCAAAGTTCACTGAGCGCCGCCTGCGCCACCAGCTCCGTTGGTTGGCGGCGTTCTGTATCTCCAGGAGGGCGGATTCAGTGAGCATCGGACACAAATTCACTGTGAGATCTAAGTCGTTAAGACGAAGACATGGCAGGGCAGTGATGAGGCTCTCGATGTCGCCGAGGAAGTTGAGCTTGGAGAGGCAAAGATGCAATTCTCGCAGTTGCAGCTGGGGCAAAACACATCCCAGTCCTTTCACACAACACAAGGGTGAGCCAGTGAAAGAGAGCGAAAGGCTTGCGATGGGAAGTGCACCAAGCGCCCCGAAGCAATCCAAGGTGGAAATACCAGTAAACGCCAAGTCCAAGCGGAGGATTCGTAAAGCAGGAGGTAAATGTGAGACCAGAACCTCTAACTTTCTATCGTTGAAGTGGTGGCAGCCGGTGAAGGAGAGTTGAACGAGCCTTCGAGTCCGATCGCACTGCAACGTGCGTGTCAAAACATCACACCAGGCATCCCCACGGGTCAGCGAAAGGTTTCTCTCTATCGCGTACCAGCAGGCCAAGGCAACGTGCGAACCAATGGCACTGTTCACCCGATCATAATTTGCGTGATCGCTCGGGGGAACCTGGTTAAACAGCTCGTCATCTTTCCATTCTGGAAAAGCTATTGCGTTCAAGATCCGCTCTTTGTCCGTGATCACGGCGCAGGATGCCTGACCTTAATTGATCCCGTTGTTCCAATCATTGCAGAGAAGAATGATTCTTGAAGTCTTGATTTATCTTGACATCATGATCCTTGCCGGGACATTGATCTTTCAAATGAGCAAAAAACACATCCGAAATCGAACACAATGCAGAAAAGGTAACAGCGCTATTGCAGCAGTTCTTGAAAAACCGATTGCACACATGTCTGCTCCTGACCCTTGAGGGACCTACACAGTTGTGCATAGGTGTCTCGGGACAAGTCTGCAAAGTATTCTGTGTGTAAGGTTGTCTTTTGGATTACTACTAGGAGCAGGGATGCTACGAACGGGGCTCCTGGCATCGCTAAACGCCCAACAGGCGAAGGACTGCTGTTTATGTCTATCTTCCGTGCAATCATCCAAGCAGACCGAAGAGCCTGTCAAATGCAGCAAAGTGACTTATATTCAGCATCAAAACCTTTTCAAGAAGCCTGGCCGGAAAATTTGCTTCACGGCATGCCTTGTGGCGCATGCCACGGAGTGGTGACATTTGTTGTTCCTCTGTAGTGAGACCGTCGGTGAGTAGACTGGCATGGCTGTCCATTGCCTTAGATCAGGCTGTCCGCTGGTCCAAAGGATGCTAGAATACACTACAATATAGCCTAGCTTGACCTAATAGCGATGGCCTCCAACCTATAATACAATATACCCATAATACAATATAGGATAATATTGGGGAAATACATATTTGCTGGAAGATAGGTTGCGGTGCCAACATCCAACAAGATGGGAGTCTTGGTGTCACGCCGCTCGACGACCAGCGCAAGCTCAAACAGAGACCACATCCTTTGTCCTGGTGTGAACTCACTGTCCAATACCAGCAACATTCCATGGCAGTTGCCCAATGCACGAGCAAATCTCGCGACTCGTGGGTTCAGCATATCATCCTCCTCCCCAAAAACATGTTGGTTGTTTGCACACCCAAGTTCGAAATAGGCTCCTTGCCGTGGGAACTTCCGAACCGAAGCATGCCTCCGTACACACTCGACAAACCTGCAAAGCGAAGTGATCCAACTCAAGCTGATATACCAAGTGGGCCGTTGTTGATTGGCATCGGTGGCCATCAATTCCACTAGGCTGCAACAAGACACTGCGGTGGACGGGATCAACACCCAGTGGCACAAATGGTACAGGTTGAAGGTCTCGGGCTTCAGTGAATCCTTGGAAGGCATGTTCAGCTGAGGTCTCTTGAACACCTCTCATTATAACAATGATACGTATAGGGCTTTATATGGTTTTATGAAGCTCGGACCATCCGTATTATCTAATGGACGTTATCTTTTCGTCTTCAGGGATCAGGAAAAGGCTTAAGGCTTTTACTCCGGTCCAGGATCGCCAGCTTTCTCCCCAAACATCTCACACCACAAGGGAGCCATTTCAGAAGTGAAGCCCGCTAATATGCAGAGCTGCTCGACGGTGATGCCACGGTATTCTATCCTTGGAATGCGGCACACCTGCAGGGGGGGAGGGGGCGGCAAATGGGAGGCAAGACTGAAAGATCCCAAAAAACGATCAATATTTTTCCACTGGCTATTCTCATCGCAAGCCTCAACACTCCTGTTGAATTGTTTGTTGAATTGTTGTTTGTTAGACTGAGAGCTCTTCTAGCTCTTTTCAATTCCGGCTGCAATCCACCCTGACCTCTGTACGGCTGAGACGTGGTCCCAACTCTGAATAATCCGCCAAGCTCAGTAGCGGCACCTCGCCACACTGAGCTTGCGAGGACAAAACCTCCTGCGAGAAAGCACGCGTGTGCACAACAAGGAGGGACCTCGCAATGCTCGCTACGAACGGGGCTCCTGGCATCGCTACTAGGAGCAAGAACGCTACTAGCAGCTCCTGGCCGTACTACTAGGAGCAAGTAGCAACTAGTCAGTTTAGTCAGTTTAGTCGCCATACCCGCCAGTTTGGCCCACCGACCAACCCTAATTTGATTTGCGCTAACAGGTTCCCACAAGTTTCCAGTGGGCTGCTGCCCTCTCTGCTTGTTGCTCATTGCGACATCGGCACCCGAAAACACTCCTGCAGCATCTCGCCCTCTCCCAGCTGCTGAACCCCACAGGAGAGCATCCGGACGCCCCAGGAGGTCTCAGATCTCGGCAACTGCTGCAGCAGCTGAGCCACGGTGGTGGTGGCATCCACAGAGATCTCCAGTTGGCTGCTGGGGGAGGCCACCCGCACCGCTAGGTTGGAGGCCATGGCTAAAAGACCAGGAAGAAAGGTCTAATATCGCTTGCTATTAGTAGCTTCCTGTTGTTCCGTTCGTAGTGCCAGGAGCCCCGGCCCTCGTGGCGATGCCCGTTGCGTCCCGTTTGGTGATCGCGTCCTGTGGTGTCGACTGGTAGCCGATGGCGAGCTGTGCACCCCTCCGGTGTTGAAGAAACTATGCCTCAAGAATGACGCTCCTGTTGACTAGCTGACTAGCTGCACTCTCATCCATAGAATTTTCCTCTTGCCTTTGAGTGATGTGCTTACACTGTACTCGTGAGCCTGAGCGTGCGCAGCCAAAACCATCCAGTTGACCCAGTCGTGAGATCACGCCTTAAAACACGGCTGATCCTAACCAAAACTGATCCTTATGCAAAGTAATGTTGTTACCGAATCTCAAAGTCTGCCGAGATGCTACTAGTAACAAGTGCATCGCTACTAGTAACAAGTGCCCTACTAGTAACAAGAAGCTACTAGTAACAAGTGCATCGATTATCCAAGAGACCTGAAAGTACGGGACCTGGGCTCCACGGAGCGTTTTGCTTGCTCCGCTCTGATCCGTTTGGAGTCAAAGGAACATGTCAGGAGGTCGAATGCTCTTCCCCGTTGGTGAACACTGTCCACCTCATACCAAGACCAACCGATCTGGGTGGAACACATCGATCTCGGTGTGAAGAGACTGGACTTAACAAGGTTCTTGAGCTTTGGTAACTGGTTAAGACTGGTGAACTGGACTTTAGAGCTGGTTCACTGGTTGCAACTGGTTGGAGTTTGAGCCGGAAGGATTCTCACCACTTGGAGAAACAGTGCCGCTAGCTTGCGGAAGATCACCATCCTCCGATTCCGCTTTCTTGAGGTGTCCAATATGTGCTGTGGAGATTACAAACCCAAAGACACCTGGAAGTGGAGAAGAGGACACCACCCAAAGACACACCGAGCCTTTTTGACAGTCTCGTTGCAACTCGAGCCTTTGACACAAAAGACGTGGACGTAGATAAGCTACATATAAAACTATACGGTATACAATAATATTGGAGCGCTGAGCATATATATATATACATACGGTATTCTGCTGAACTCTCATCAAACGGTGCGCCTGGAAGTAGAAGACCGCTATGCCGCGAGTGGGCATCACCTGTTTCGACAAGACAGGTTGCCACGAAACGAACGGTCAATGTGGAGGAAAAAACTCCAAGACCGAACTGGAAAAAAACACGGCGCCCCTGTACTTACAAATTGGGTTCTCTGATTCCAAGGTCCTGGATTTCTCCAAGCTACAGGCAGCGGCTCATTGTGGTTACAAGTCCTGAACACAAATTCCTCTTCATAAATCTTCATGTCGTTCTTCCATGTGCCAAAAACGGCACCAGTCAGTGGCCAATCAGTTGGGTACTTTGGGGGGGGGTCTCTATACCTCGAACCAAAACGAACGCGACCCGCACCAGGTGGCACCATCACTTGGTGTCGCCCCGCAAGGTCCCTTTCCTTGGGTTTGGATGGTCATTTTGACGGTCATACCATGGCGCCACGATTTTCCACAGGTTTTTTGAACGTATTGCCTTTTTCTGTCCCGACTGTCCCTGACAAAACCAGTCCAGATTGACACAGTCAAATTCTGAAGTGATTAGTAGCTTGTACTAGAGTTACTAGCATGCAGGAGCAGACTGCAAAAGATCCTCTCTTCTGCGATTCCACACATCTTGGTCCAGCTAGCAGAAGCTGAAAGTACAGGGAAGAGCAGCCATGGGGAAGCCTTGGATTTGCAACGAGGCTCATCTGAGAAGACCGGGTCAAAATCACCTGCCGAGAATTCTGGGTCAAACTCATAGGGTCCAATCTTAGATGAAAAAACTCAGTGGGCCAAAATGTCAACGAGACCTTTTTACTTCAAAAGGGTTTGACTTCTTTCCGCTCGTGCCAAATCCAAAGCTGAGCGCATTGCTCAATGCTTTGGGATCCCTTTCAGGCGCCTGTGGGTAGCGCCTTGTGGTCAGCTTAAGGCGCCTCTCTAGTTTGTCATGCCTTGCGGTGTTAGATTGTCGAGGCGCTCATTGTGGCTTTGCTTGCGTCTTTTGGCCATGCACTCCAAGCTGAAAGCTGTCTGTTCAATATTCACCAGCAACTTTGCCCTTGGTTTGGTTCAAAGGTGCAGAAGCCTTATACTTATACCCCAATCTTTTCAAAACAATGCATGATGGCATCATTTGTTTTGCTCTTTGTACGGGAAATCTGATGCAGAAAGGAAGGAAGCTGAGTTAAGGTCTGCGGCAAAGAAGACAACAAGGCTTGATAATTGGCTCTTGGCAATTGGGTGCTTCATGTTTGCTAACAACTTGCAAGGTATGTGTGCATAGCCTGCTTCTTGCGCTCCTTTTGTTTCTCACGTTTGCTGTCTCTGGTTAGCTTCGCCAGCTTTGGGCTTCAATCGGTGGGCAGCCAAGCAAGCAGTTGGGCAAGACCACCAAGCAACCTTCTGGCTCTTGCCCGTGTGACGGTGATGGCTTCTGAGATGCTTCCTACATCTTCCGGGCTCTCAATGTTTGGCAGCAGGACGACACCTTTTAATTCACTCACTTGCAAGTCCTCACGCGAACCTTCCTTGACAAGAACATCTTTCATTTTCTGAACCTTGTTCAACGCCTTCGACATGTTGCTGGTGCCACCCACATCAACAAGGTACAAAGCACCAGTGTCATCCTTGAAGAAAATGTCGGCACACGGATGGTTCCTCTCGGCATAATAGAGAGTGGCGTTTTGCATCTCTGCAACTTTGGCACAGTCGAGACTCTTGCTGTTCTTCTGAAACATGTTGCCGGGTTGGATGTCTTCACATTGAAACTGAACCATGCCAAACCTAGTCGTCCCAAACTTCTTAAACTGGCAGGACAGTACCCACAAATATGCGAGCTCTAAAATTTTCCCTGCGGTCACCACGCCCGCGGAACTATTGTCCAATGCAGACCTGAACAAATCTTGACCACGGAGGTAAAGCTGGTGAGAGGAATCCGTTTGGTCAAAATCACGAAGTAGCACCTCCAGTGGTGCCGTGAGAATACCTTCCAGTACTACCACCTGAGGAAAACGTGGCACCATGCACCATGGCATCATCCTCTCGAATTCCGCAAAGCAGGTCTACTAGACTCTTCCTCTCCGACGCTGTGTCATCCATCCATGCCTGATTGCAGTGCTCGATGCACTTCTCAAGCCTTGCCGTGACATCGTCACCAGCATTCCCCAACATGTTGTTTAGCTTGTTGAACGAGCGGTCAGTCTCACTGGATGGAAAATGCAAGCCGGAAAGGAGGAGCTTTTGCAAGGCAAGTCCCAGCGTAACACGCAATGTTGCCACATGATGCACAATAGCCTCATTCTCCGATGTCGTCCATGAGTAGGCGCTCCTGCATGAAGCAAACACGCGATCGGTCGTCGGCAAGTTTCTGAGGACCCGTGAGGCAATGGTGGAATGTCAGTATAGGTTGCCAAGACTTGGACAACAGGAAGCTCTGCAAGTGCGGCACCGTTGCGGAAGTCTGGATCAGGGCACATAGACCTGTGTTCATCCATGTGCACCAAAAGCATGCCGTTTGGACTACGCTGCATGAAGGTGGAGACCTCCTTCTCGAGCAGCTTCTGCGAAGTTCTGAAGGGTGGTATAGCATTCGACAAGTACCACTCGACAACATAGTCACTGTTAAAGGCTTGTGCTCTGAAGCATTCCCTCATGTAAGCCGCACCCAAGGCCTTCCGCAGCTTGGTGCTCTTGCCACAGGCACTCTCAAGCTCGGCTTCGTCCACCTCTTCGTGAAAGTTTCCTCCGTTGTTGGCAAACGGCATGTATAAATAATGTGTGAAGTTGAGCCGTGCAACATCCGAGTTTAGCTCTCTGGAACGGAGGAAGCCCACCAGCACGGATGCCGACTTACCAGAATGGGAAGCCGCTGCGATGCAACCGTTGGTCTCTGCTCGTCTGCGGTCAGTCTCGCTGCAAAAGCGTCCAAATCGGATTTCCTAACGTAAAAGTGGAGCTGGTACAACTTCAACGGTTGCGAAATTCCAAGCTCTCTCACAGGTAAGGATGTCTGGTATGTGTCATAATTCTTCAGCAAGGGCACGCTATTCACTTGCATGTTCTCTTCGAAACAATCTTTCAGCTTCCCATCTATGCCATCCCGTTGACACCACCACGTTTCACCTGCAGCGGCGAGCCTAACGGCCCTTCGGCGATGTGTGGTTGGCCTGACAAAGTCTGTGGGAGCCCAGCCCACAATGGCCACAAAGGCCAACAAAGTCAGAATTGCGAACCAAAGGCGCGGCTTCTTCGCACGAGTCATGGCACACTGCTATGACAGGTTGCTAGGAGCATCAGTCCGACTGGAATGAATGCGTCCATCTCTGCTTACTACATTGAGTTTTCTACGGAAGCCCAAAATGCGCACATCAACATCAATGTTGTCAATTGATATGTCCATGAAACACCATGGCTTATTGACATGGCAATCACTTACACAAATGAGACTACCTCAAATGTTCAATCCAATCTGATCTTGAGCAATTTGCGCTGCACAAGACCACAAACGAGTCACGCAAACATGCAGTGATTCTGGATGTGACTCCAAAAATGTCACAAACATGTCACAAAGAGTGAGTGTTGAGTCAGCAGACAGAAGACAAGGTTGGCAAGCGAAAACTGCATGCTGCCAGCAAAAAGTGCAACTGCAAGGCTCAGCTCTGTCTTTTCTCGTAGCATTGAAGTCTCAGAGCTGAATAGTCCTCGGTATGCGGAAGGATCGGACAGGGAAAAGCCGAGGTCTTCAGTTTTGCAAAAGCCTTTTCAAAGACAGCCGGTTGCAGTTTGCATTTCCCTCTCAAGGTTTCCAAAGCATTTCTTTGCTGCGCTCACTAAGTTGATGTAAAATTGCTATTCAAAGTTGTCGCAAGAGTTTCATATATTTGGTGAAACTGTCCAGTGCTTATGACATGCTCACACTCAATGTGTCAGTGCACGAAAAAGGTTGAAGATTGAACCCGTTTTGTGCCAATTTTGTTCAGCTTTGCAGCAAGCTGCTATGGCACAATGTAGCCATAAGGATTGTCTTCAGAACTGTCACGAAGAGATGCACTCATCTTCTCTTCCTTCTTCCATTCACCGGCCTTCAGAGCAAAGACAATCAAAACAAGGCGGAAGGGCTAAACTGGCTAAACTAAACTCCAAAGGGCTGGTTATTGAAGCACATACCACTAGCGAACAATAGGTGGCGCAAGAAATTGTTCGTTGTGTTGAGTGTATATGTTAATTAGGGGTGCAGCAATGGTCAACTTCATCTCCTTCTCAATCGCATCACCATAAAACAGCAAGACCACCATGCACGTGGATATGCTTTCAACCAAAGCCGGTCTGTTTCCCATCAGTGCTTTCTTTGTTTCTCTTCACTCAATGTTTTGTTTCTCAAGGAAGCAAAGTGGATGTGAACACGTTCCATGAAAGCACAGGACGCTCAATCTTTGCCATTGCCCTTTGAAAAACTGCTCTCAGAAAAAGATTTACAAACAATCGGCTGGAGTTCAGCACCTTCTTCCAGTATGCCTGACGACTTTCAAATTGAGATAAACGTTTGGAAGATATCTGAGCCCCGCTTAACAAAACCAACTAGACTATCTCTAGAGCAGTCCTGCTGCACTTGCTTTACCCAAACAGCATTGTTCTGCGTTGCAGTGGTTGGTCCTTGCAGAGTTCGACGATGATAGCTTGTGTGAACTTTGCAAGGTCCCACTTCATAACTCCAGACAAAACTAACTCAAACAAACCACGCGCGGCTGCCATCTTGAAATGCTCTTTGAAAGCATGGGTCTTGTCTTACCGTGAAAGCCTACACGTTCTGACAGAAAACTGTGCATTTGAACATGTTTGAATGTTCAAGAGAAATCCAGCCTGGCTGAATGTACATTCTTTGACATCAGTTTTGCCTAGAACTGCCGCATTTTTCATGCCTCCAAATGATAAGCAAACACTTGTACTTTGCATCTGCGTAGTTTCTCACATTGTCAAAGCGACTCCGATGTTTTTCAATTTCAGTTGTCTGCCACAGGCCATGACCGCTTCAACGATCGTCAACCTTCCCTCTATTTCCAGTCTCTATACTGATCCTGCACTAAAACCCAAGGGTTCCAGTATCTGAATTATGGCACCGGCGTAGTGATTTTCAAAAGAGGCCACGGACATTTCAACACACCAAAAAGGAAACGGCTGCTATTATAGACCCATTGGCGCGTGACGTTGCGCCGGTGTCCGAAGCAACCAATCATGGGTGGTGATATGTGATGCTTCATGGCAGCAACAAACTCTATCTCGTTGGTACATTCGGTGAAGGGTGACTTGAACCTGCAAAGAGAAAGATAGTAAGTAATTCCTGTAAAGATCGGAGGACAGCTGACTTCAGGCGGACTCCATCGGTCGGCTAGCCCTGCGCTGCTTTCTTCGCAATATATCTTCCGCCAACGCTCGGATGAGAGTCCTTTAGCAACGGGGGCAATGCCACTAACTTGCTTCGCCAAAAGGTGAAGCTTGGAAAGAGCTACGCTCTATTGGTCCAGGCAGCTCACCTCATCTCAAGATGCCAAACAACACGAACCATTCACTAAAACATCTGCCGTCCCCAGTTTCCATCCACGATCGAGTCACGTGACCCACATTTTTTATTGGCAGGTCGATGTCTTCCACAACTCGCAGCGATCGATGTCTTTCCAAAGCGAGGCCCGAAAAACAGCTGCAAAGAAGCTATTAGAAACAAGTGCCACGCTAGTAGTAACAGGTGCCTTACTAGTAGTAACAAGAAGCTAGTAGTAACAAGTGCCACGCTACTAGTAACAGGTGCCTTACTAGTAGTAACAAGAAGCTATTAGTAACAAGTGCCACGCTACTAGTAACAGGTGCCTTACTAGTAGTAACAAGAAGCTAGTAGTAACAAGTGCCACGCTACTAGTAACAGGTGCCTTACTAGTAGTAACAAGAAGCTATTAGTAACAAGTGCCATGCTACTAGTAACAGGTGCCTTACTAGTAGTAACAAGAAGCTAGTAGT